CTCCCCCACAAGGAGGGACTCTGGGTGGTTCACAACCAAACAGTTAAAACCAATAAAAACATAAATAATGTTTTATTTAGACATAAGTAATGTATATTATTACATATTGTACATTTTAAAAGAGAAAATAGTTTTCAGTAAGAAATAAAGAGAAATCTGTAGAAACATCAGGTTGGAAATATGTCATCGAAACAACTGAGGCATTCCATTGGTAGTTTAAAAATATTCAGAAGAGCTTAGAGTGACAAGATGCCTTTGGATCAATTTCATATAAGTGGACTTAACATACAATAAGTGGGCTACTATTAAGCTTTTAGAATATAAAAATATAAATAGAATATAAATATTAAAGTTGCAGTGCAATACATGCTTCAGAGTAAGCTGGAGCTAGCATAGATGTGAATATATATAAAGTTGTTTGAACTATTGTCCATAAAATATATTTATTTTTATAAAGATATTGGATTCTTCCCTTGCATGTATCCTTGTAAATACCTCAATGATACATAACTGTAGTAGCTTTCATATGGACTAAAATAAAAATTGTGGAGGACATGTTCTGATCAATTTTCTGTGTGATATAGAAATGATTACAGTAATAGGCTTTCTTCATTTGTGTCTATTCCAAATTGACACAATATTAAGTTCAGCTTTCTTCAAACAAAATTACTTCAAGTATTTGGAATACAATTCCTATCTGTTCCATTCAACATTTCTATTGGTTGGTAATGATGGAAGTTGTATTCTAAAACATCTGTGATGACTCTGGTTCAATTGTACAAATTATTATTACCATTTTATGAAGATGTTTAATTTTGTTATGTCATGCATTTCAAGCTGGTTTCTTCAGCAGTACATAACCAGTAGCTGACTGCCTCTTTTCTTCTTACATTGGTCTATAATGCCATTCTTCTTTATCCAGTTTATCCCTCTTCCAAGAAGGAGTACTTTGGATTGGCACAATGGAAGATAAATTCCTGTACTGCTGTTCTGCTCACAATGTTCATATTTATGATCTGAATTCATTTACCAGCTTTTGGACTCATATCAACAGCCCAATAAGTCACCTCCACATCTGTAATGCTGTTGGGAAGTCCAGCCGGGTGGTTGCAATGGGTGTTGACAACAGGTATGTTAAAATGGTAATAAAACTGGCAAACCTCACCCATACCTTTCTAGGATTTGTGCTAAGTACTAATGCTTTTAATATGAACTAAATTCTGACAAGAACTGAAATTGTCCCAAAATAAGTATACTTATGGACAATAATATCTGTCAAAATGTTACCATATATCAGTAAAAAAAAAAAAAAAATCTTAATTTATGGAGACTGAGTATATGGGATTATTTTATGACAACAAAAAGTTATTTAAGAGTTCTTTTATATATGCTATAACTGTGAAGGTTTTTTCCAAAGGTTTACTAATTGTTTCTCTGTTTATTTTCAAAGTTTAAGAATAATCTCTGTTCAAAATGGGACAAAATTATGCACCGTCTTGCCACCTCCTTATCCTACCTTGCTTCAGTCAGTTCTCAGCTTTACCTACAACCGAACTAGTGGAACTATTTATTTTCTCTTGACACCCTGTGATATATGGGTTTATACAGCAAGGTAATAGAAAGTATGACATCCCTATTTTAATAACAGTTGAAAATAACAATTATTATTTTAGGAGAGGATAATGAATTGGATATGAGAAATTAGAAAATCTACAAAGAAGTTGAAAACCTAGGGAAAAATAGCAAATACTTTTTCTATATTTAAGGTGTAATATGTGGATGAAATTGATGGAATCGATTTATAAAAACGAGCCAAGACTTGTAATATGCAGAGTGTCATGGAGCACTTATTTATTTATTTATTAAATTTGTATGCCACCCATCTCCCCCAGTGGGTGACTCTGGGCGGCTCACAATAAAAGTAAACAGTTACAAAATAAATACCCCCATTCAATAATTAAAATTAATTAATTAATTAAAAAGTCAAACTACAGAAACGCTTATTTCAATGAAAAAGAAATAGTCTTAATGTTGCTAGTATATTTTAGAATTAAAATGAAGCACACATATATTAGCTTTCAGCTTCAGGTATCTTAGGAAATAAAAACATTTTGATAAATGTAAACAAATCAGTTGCAAAACATATGTATTTATCTTTGCATCACCAGAGTCTGATTGTGTTGTGCTACTGAACCATTGATTAGATAAAACAAGAAAATTAATATTTAAGAATATGAATTCACTTCTAACCCCCTAGTGATATGCCATCTTGAAATCTGTGGTATGTTTAGTGTTCACGGTTCCAACTTTTGATGTCTAAATAGTCCTCCCTGATTTGCATTTTAAGACTGAATATGGGAAAGAAATAAGGGAAAGAAAGAGCTATCATTTGAATAATAAGGTTGTTGTAATTATTATTTTTTATTTATTTTATTATTAAATTTGTATGCTGCCCATCTCTCCCAATGGGTGACTCTGGGTGA